TCTCCTCTTTTACCCCTTTTCCCCTTCCTTCCTCTTTTCCAATTCTAAATTCCCTAAAGGGACCCGTTGTTTTTTTCTCTTTGTTTCAGAAACACGTTTTAATCCTTTCCTGGCTTTAGGGCCCCGAACTGTCTGCGAAAGCTCTGGACAAAATCTGTTCTATTCTGATCGTACTGGGACACGAAGGTCACTCGCACTCTGTCTTCCAGTCATTGGCCCTTTTACATTTGTCCATCAAACTTCCCCCTTGTACTGAGTGACCGTCTGCTGCAAATGCCAACAAAAGACGACCTGATATCCGGTCGTTTAAAAAATTGCTCAATAAATATACATTTTGTCCCTACGACGGCGGCCCAATAAGCAAGCTGCACGCCACCTCAGAATCGGGTAGCGGTGGAAAGGAATTAGTTAGAGACCTGCCTTTTACGGTCTGCTGTCAGGAATTCTCTAACAGAAGGGTTGGCAGACGGAGTAGGGTGGCGTGGTTTGGGGTTGAGTTGTTTTAGTGCAGAGATGGAATATCAATATTATGCTGTGTTAAAAGTAGCGATATGCGCCTGAAAGGAAGCAACGACGCATGCCTCCTGAAGGACCGAAGTTTTAATTTGAAATAGACTGGGAAAAGGGGTTATTGTGAAGTCGATAACCCGTCAGAATAGTACATAACTATCTGTAACTAAAACATGTTTGTTTAAGTCACAACTTTATTACGAGTTTAACGGCACTTGGAAAATAAATACATCATATAAGTGCCGAAGTTTAGAGGAGTTGCCAGAGAATAACGTACGAAGAAAAGAAAGAGGAGAGAGATCAGGAGGACAGACATTTGATCGGAAAGAAGCAGAAAACCACATCAGAGTACCTGTGACAGCCCACATAAACATTTTAGATATAGCCTACTTCAAAATCCATCTTTGACGTTATGGAAACGAAAGTTATTTAGCATTAAATTTATCTAAATGGGGAGAGATCGCCTAACCAACCAGTCGTCTTGATTATAAATCATTTATAATGTTTTTGTATTTTATGATGCTTGAGTAATGATGATATAAGAAGATATATAATTTCGACTCACTATAGGTAATTAATTAAATAATCCTCAATTGGACAAATATATACCTCACCGTTTCTAGACTTGAAAAGAAACTGCAAAAGTTTCGAATAATTTTTTAATATAATTGTTAACGCAAATTCGATTATCTCCGTGAGGGTAAAGGATTGCAGTGTCAAGCTTTGAAATAAAAAAGCGAATAAAAAAAATTCATTAAATCTGTAAGCCAGTTACCCGCTCCATGCCCAAAATAGCATCAGAAACGATTTCTGTCTCGAAGATATATTATGTGGAGTTAGGCTGTCGCCCTCCTACGCCATTGACCAAATTATTGCGTCTGAATCGCTCAAAACGCTTTTTCTCATGAAATATTCATAAGTTTTCATCAATACTTTATTGCTCAAGGGTGAAAAGAAAAAGTCAAAACGATATCTGGCGTCTCTAATGTGAGTGAGTCCCCTCTTGGTTTCGTCTGTTTGTTCTGAGCTCTTGTACATTTAATACGTCGTGTCATTGCAGAGAAAATGTCCCTTTCATCTCTTGGATTACATCGAGAAATATATATACATGTGAGATAATTATTCACTTTGGCTGTCTACTTGATGGACAAATATCATAACAACACAAATGTCCAAAGAAGAATGAGATTTCGAAGAAAAATAACGAAAGTGAAAAATGTGAAAACATCGTTCAGTTTGTTTCTCATATATTTCTCTTTTTTTTTGGGGGGGGGGGTGTTGGTGGGGGCGCTTTTTTATTTCTCACTTTTTTGAAAACTCTTTTCAGTTCGTGTTGTGTTATTTTACTTAGTAGTAACAGTAGCCTAGTGGTTATGCTACCGGGCCCGTTTTCGTGAGATTGTAGGTTCGGGGTTCGAGTCTCATCTCGGT